CGAGCCCTAGTAGTCTCGAGTCTTGTTCGAGCTCTAGCCATGCTCATAACCTTACTTAGAATATTTTCTAAGTATGAGATCATTTTTATCAAGCCCGAGTCATCGTTTTCCTCGGCCTAGTATAACCGCATCAAGCTCGTGCGTAGTCAAGGTCACTCGCACCAAGGTTCGCGAGTGCGCACCAAAGCCGTGCCAAGATAGTCCTATTCATAGCCGAGTGTTGGTTGGAATTTTTTCTAAGTATAGGGGCTCTTTATATCAACATTTACCCGAGCAAGTTCTTCTCGGGCCAAGTCCCTAGCGCCGAGCCCAAGCAATGCGCATGCTAGCCTCTCGTGTCACCATGCTAAGGCTTTGGTCATGACCGAATGAGATGGTGTATTTTTCTAAGTGTTGGTAACACTTATCTTCAGCCATGCATAAGTATAGTCTCGGCCCAAGTTTTGTTTCTCGCGCGCAGCCCAGCAGTTCCCGCGCCCAGCTTGCGCCCATGGCCCAGCAGCGCCGAGGCCCAGCGCTGGCAGCGTACCAGCTCACTTCTTGAGCCCAAATCCATAAATTTCGGCCCACTTCTCCAGGGCCCAACTTCATGCGTGTGTTAAGGGGTGGATTAAGGACTAATTCAGCTTAGGATGCCCTAAGTAATGATTAAGGATGTCACATGGGCATTACGGATTATTTAATTGTGAGTGGAGGGGCCATATGCAATTGTTTATGTTATGCCTTGTCCCCCACTACCTCCAACCCGACCAAGACCTGTCCAAGGCATATTTTATTGTTGGATACCCTGCCATATTCCCTCCAAGACCGTGCAAAGTCAGCCCCATAATCCGTGCACCATGATCCCTTGTCCCATGCGCACATGTGATGCCATTTTGTTCGCATTTGAAGGCTTTGGTTCATCCGCCCATGTCCTCTATTTAAGGGTAATTCCTCAGTGATGTTTAAGCTCTTGGACACCTAATAACACTTAAACATTTCGAGAGTTAGAGCAAGAAACCGAGAGCTAGTGCCTAGCCTTGCAGCGCGCGCGTGTGGCCCGGGGAAGAGAAGAACTCGTGTTCCAGCTTGTTCCAGCCATACCTCTCGAGGCTTAGCATTTTCCAAAAGTTGTTTGGAATTTTCTAAATGTCCAGAGTGTATCCTTTCAGCCATTTCAGCCCCATAGCCGAGGCTAAGTTCCTAGTGCCGCGAGATCCCCGAGCAAAGTCCATTAGCTTCATTTCGACTTTTGAGCAAGGTTAGCTCGTGCCAACCAATTTTCCTAACTTATTCATGACAAAATAGGAATTATCATATGATAAATTGATGCCATGCATGTACTTAAGTAAGAGATATGATTTTTCTAAAATGCAAGCCCTAATTTCGGAAATTCTAGCACATGCATGATACGGTCGAGATTAGTAACTTAAAAATCCTCAAAAATCATGTGTATAACATGGTTAAAAGATTAGAATTCTTTGAGTTCATTTGTTCGGTCATTTTGATATGTGAAATCGAGCAATTTTCACCTCCGAACCCAAATATATGTACATGCATGTAATGACCAATGTTCTAGCCTCCATAGCCATGATTTTTGATGCTTAGTATTCGGCCCTAAGTCAAATTATATGTTGAGCATGTTCATTTTGGTGACCTAGGGTCCATAGGTGCCATTTAGGCCCTACCGGACCGAGTCTTAACCACCCGAGTTGCCCTAGCATTTCTTGGCATTTTTACATGTTATTTATCATGTTGAGTTGTATTGGGTTGGTAGTCACTGGAATAATTGCCGGAAGTTTGGCAAAGGACCGGCAAGGGTCACCAGCCGCGCCAGTCGCGCGTGCCATGCCCGTGTGATGAAGATCGTGTGTTCCGACTGTCGACAAGCCGCTCCCGCGCCTTAAATCGCACGATAGGTGTCTCGCGAGCCACGTGAGCGCCTCTTGAAACGAATAAAATTGCAAAAGAAATCAAGAAGAAATCTAAGGCAAAGTGTTTGAAAAAAAGTTCGGGTTTTGTATTAATATTCCATGATGAATAATTCGAATAAGTACATAGGGTATTTATAAGAAAAACTAGATCTAGTCCTATGAGAGCTATAATTCTAATCTATGAAAAATATATCTAATCCTAAGGTAACTAAATGTCTTGCATATCAAGACTTACCAAAATATAAGATACCTAACCAACTGAATAATCTCTTAACCTATCTAATAAACCCACGGCTAAAATAATAAATCCTAACTAATGAACTATTAACTCACGCTAACTAAATATCCTAACATACTAACGGCTAATTAATAATTCACCTAACAATTAGTAACCAAACTAACCACTAACGCCTAACAATATTCTAATCAACTAATATATACTAGCCTAACTAATTAACATATATACTAACACTACTAACTCACGTAATTAATATATCTAACAATCTAACTAATTAAATAATAATTAATCTAACATTAATCTTCTAGAATCTTCATTCCTCGGCTCGCACGGCTAGCCTCGTGTATTTGCGCATCACGCCCACGTACGCCTCCACGTGCTTCCTCGCGCGGTGCTTTTGGCCCGTTGCCAGTCCAACTCACGCGAGTCCCTCGGTCCAGCCACGTCCATGTGTAAGCTCCCATGCGTTCATCTGCATTGCCTTCGCCTAGTCCTTCAAGGACTCCATCTCTTGTCGACTTAGCGCGTGTGTGGCCGCACTTGACCCCGTTGTCTAATCCTTGTCCAACAAGGCTTATTGGATGTCCGTGCATAGCCTCGTTCCACACACCTTGGCGGTGCTCGACCCTTCTAGCTTCGATCTGCTCATGCCTCGATATGCTCGATACCACGAGTCTAGCCTCGATTCCTCCGACCTCGACCATGCGCGTCCTCGACTCCGCGAGCACCGTCCATCTGTCCGTCTTGCTGCCCGATCGACCTAGCGAGTGTCGACCATGTGATAGGCCCATTCGAGCTAGCGAGTGTCGATCATCCGAGTGTCGACCACCCGACCTTCCTGTTCGGCCCATTTGGCTGTGACCCCTTATGCCGCATGCTCGTACTTGCTGGCTCGACCCTGTCGGCTTCCCGGGTCTCGACCATGCATGCCTACGCCAATGTGCATGTTCGCGTCCCTGTCGTCGGATCATCTCACGCACCCGCTCGTGTTGATGGATGCGCATCTTCACGTGTAACCTCACGCGCCTTGCTATGCGGCTCACGCGTATCGCGTGTCTACGCATTGCACGTTTTCCTCGCGCGCGGCCATCACGAACCTCCGTTGCACATCCCCGATGGTTCGACTCGTGTCGTTCCTTTTGTGCTCGTGCGCCTCGTATACGGGCTCGTACCCGTCTCTTAGGCCATGCATACGTGATTTTGGCCCTTTCCTCGGCCTTCTCGGGTCGTCTCGGCCATCGGCCCTCGGCGTCCTCGGGCCTCGAAACCCACATTCGCATCATTCCCGCCTCCTTACAGTTTGTCCTTGTCCTCAAGGACACATCAAGTGACTCCCATCGGTTCTCTTCTTCTTTACCTTCTGCACCGACTTCCTCTTCTTTGTTCTCGTTTTCATCGGACCCGTCGAGATAAGTATCGAAGATAGGTGACTCCTCGTAGTTGGTTGGTCCTTGCTTGGCCGTGCACTCGTCATCTTTGCCCGAATGGATGTATTCGTCTTTGGCCGCCTCTTCGTCGTCAAAGTATTCCAAAAATTCGCTCCAACCCTCTGGCTCCTCCTCATCCGAGTCGTCCAATCGAATCACAAAGGCCTGCTTGCACCGATGCCCCGACGTGGATTTCTCCTCGCACTTGAAGCATAGGCCTTTATCTTTTCGGCGCCTTATCTCCATGAACGACAATCTCTTAACATTTGAGGTTGGCGATCGAAAAGTGTTCGGTGGTCGCGCCCCCGATTTGTTGCCGCTCGCGCTCTGCACCACGTGGCGCTGTTCCTTCTTGGACTCGCCTTGGGCCTCGCCAATCGCTCGCGACTCCTCTTGCTTGATCTCAGCTTGCTCGAGCTCTCTCATGGCCCGATCGTACCCGTAAGGTGGTGGTCGAGCATTGTTCAGGGTTGGTCGATGCGCAACCCTTAAGCACTTGTCGAGACGGCGGCCCTCGAATTTTTTCTCTTGTTCGTATTCGGCACGGCGCTGGTCGTGCTCCTCAGGTCGTTCGCGCCCGTGCGGCCGCGGTGGTGGCCGCGCCTGCTGGTGTTGGAAGCTGCGCGCCATCTCGTCGAACCTCCGGTTCATGTTCTCCATTAAATCGCGCACCGATGCGTTGGTGGTGTCGAGCCCTTCGCCTAGGTTGTCCATGGCCTCGCTCATGCTTCGGAATTGCACGTCCAAGCTCTCGAGTATGTCCTCCATCTCCTTGTTGGCCATATCTTTCTTTTCGTTCATTCTCTTTTTACTTCGTGAACTCATTTTGAAGAAATTTTTTTTTTCACACTCACACAAAAAACTGAAAAGATATGTTTTTTTTTTTTTTTTTTTTTTTCACTACACAAAGTCATGCAAATACTATAAGAACAATATAAATATTTTTTTTTTTTC